TCGCCTTTCTGTACAATTATTAGCTAAATTTACTCGCCAAAAATTTATTCCCTTACACCATTTCTTTTTTCTCCTTGTGCCTCATCCTGCTCAAGGGGATCTTTTGTATATTTCTTTGATAAAGGAAATTGACTTGCAACTATCATGAATCACTCTACCCTTGATTTATCTTCGCCTGCTAGATGATCTCAAGAAGGGCAGAAAGGATCGTCTCCTTCTCTTCTTGAAGCTGAAGTTCTATTTTGCAAGAACAAGAGTATTCATGGGAAGTTTCAAGTCGGTATTTTTTGTTTTGTGTTTTTCTGAAATAGCCTGTGTAAAGACGTCTCCCCTCCCTCAGAAAAAAATCGGAGGTCTGTACACAGGCTATTCTGTATCAATTAAGAGAGATTTAGAATCTATACCACGTGACCACGTTTTCCATTAGTCGTCGTTTAGTATTTGTCATACCTAAACAAAAATAAATAGCGTCACGCCAGTTTCATTTATAAGAATTATTCGCGACAGTTTTAATTTGCTCCTTTCCTAATAAGGGAAATTTTCAACTCGAGTCCGCGTTTGCTGTAATTGTGAATTTATGTCTCTCCCTTTATTGTTTTATCAGTCTGTCCGTGACAGTTAAAATAAGTGTGAAAGACCTAAAGGTTATAGAAATTTTGTTTTATTGTATGTAGTAACCTTCAAATATGGAACAATTATTTAGCGATTACTAATACTTTAGGAATAGAGAGTGTAGTTGTGTGTTTGCGGGCAATTCTGGGGACTTTGTGTGTATTCTTTGCGTTATGCGTGCGTAAATTGAAATATTTTTTCAGTCATGAAATATGCACATGAAATATTTTTGTTTTTGTTTCTCATTGACTTCTGAAAAGTCTAAAAATTTTGGTCATTTTATGCATGAGTTAACGTCTTATTCGACGTGGCAGTGTCACTTAAAGTTAGTATTAATAATTAGGTAATTTTTTAACGATTTAATATGTATATACGATGTAATCGTATGTTTTTATTCATGTATTGTAATAATCATTTCCCCGTAAATCTCAAAGAGCAAACGCTTTTTGAAGTAACTGTTCCTACTTCCGACTATTACCAGAGCAACAAAAAAAAGTGGAAAAAATTGTCCTAGAAAATTTCGTTTTTTGCAGTAGGAAAGTAAATAGGAGAACTGATAATAGGCTACAGAGCACAGCGAATTACGTGCAGTATAGGATATGAGTGAATATCTGATTCCCTCTGGGACAGTTGAAATTAGTATTGTTAGACTTAAAGGTCTTAGATAATTTTATTTCTTATTAGCAATAGTAAAGGCTTTTTTGTTAGTATAATAGGAAAGTAAATAAGCTAATGCAAAACATCATAGGCTTGATAGGGTACATTAAATTCGATATCTAGCTTCCTTTTCATTTTCAGTTGTGACTGTCGATACGAATCGTGCTTGTAGTAATAATTCGCTGATTTCTGCGAGCATGCAGTAGTATTTAGTTTGGTGTGTCAGTATATTATTATATATATTATATATATATATATATATATATACATTATTATATATATAATATATTATTATATTATGTCCCAGGAGGCGAAGAGGAGTTTAATTTGCTGGGCGTATTTTGATTTGATTCGATTTAAAAAGATCTGGCTAGACAGGACAAATTTTTTTCCCTTTATCTGCCTAAAGTAATGACAGCGGAGACACATCCACTAGTTACAGAATTAAAAGAAAAGGTAGAAATGAAACGTCCCCAGTGGCAGTAATTGCAAGTGTTTATTCCACTGAGTCTTGAAGTTGAATTTGATGTACCGGGACCCGAGCGGCTCATGCGCCGAGAGACAAAATGATGAAGGAGGCTTCGGGTGAGCTTCTTTTAGCTTTGTTTGGAATGGAGAAATGAGAGATACGTTAGTTGTCTTGCGAAAATTCCATTTGTTTAGCGCAATTGGTACACTCCGATTGCAGGATCGAAAGACTTTCCAGACAAAAAAGGATTTGGCTTTGTCGGTAGATTTCAGGTCCCGGCCGCTTCGTTCGGTTTCTTGAAAATGTTTTCCGCCAAAGTTTTTGCCCACGTAGCAATTTAAGCTTCTCTTAGCCCTGTGTACGTTTGCATGCATGAATATGTTGGAAACATTACACATATTATTGTGAAAGCTCGTCATGCGACCATCAAGGACGATGAATAACTGGTCTAAAATAACCGAAGCAAGGTGGTCTTAGTTACCCCTTAATTCTCAAAGTGACCAACATAAGTTTTCTTTTAACAATATCAAGAGATAATTCGAGAAAACGTTATGAGAATCATCAAAATGGTCACCTGACAGAAGAAACCTTGATCGTTTGTCAAATTATTTCAACTGCTTCTCCAAGAGCTTCTAAGGAAATGTACTGAGAACGGTCTGTGTATACAGCTATTTCGAGGAAGGTTGCCGGAAAAATGTGCTCGCGACAATCCCGAAAGGTAATATGGGATATGATCAATACACTGTTCCTGACATTGTAGCTGTCGAACCTGCTATTGCTGCTTTCCTTTAGCACTCTCAAACATACGTCCATGGTCTCTGGTTTCATTCTTTGAAATTTGTTTGAAGAACAGTGAACTCAAAACCACCCACAATACTTTCGGGATTGTCGCGTGCACTTTTTCCGACAACCTTTTGTCGAAATAGCTGTATAGGGGCTTAAAAGGCTACAAATGGAGTTTATAGGGAGGGCATACGACCTCCCTTAATTGCTTTCGTGGTAGTTATAATAATAATAGCCTTAAAATTACTTTTCAATAAATTGCATCGTTAACACCTTGTGCTGTTTTTTAGTAAATGAGCGTTTTGAAGTGGCTGACGTTTATTTGCCTTACAAACTTAATCGTTTCAATTCCTTCACAAGTACTCAAGGGGAAGGATTATTAAGAGTAGGATACTTGACAAGAAAGGTCACGATGAAAGAAGCGCAGATTTAATAGGGCAAATTCACAAATCTCAGTCTAGTTTTCAAAAAAACTTATCGAAGTGTTTGTCACTGGCTTAAAACGTTGCAGAAATTGTACCGTTTCACCAATAAAACCCCAAGAAACACTCCCAGCCACTTCAGTGATCATCCGCCATTGTGCGGACGTTTGTGAACACAGCGAATTTCGCGGAGAAAGAAATCTAAAAATAGGCGAAGTTTAATGTGTTGTGTGTAGTGATGGATACGCCTAGGTGATGAGCTCCCGCAGTACATTAACTTCTTTAAAAGATTTTTCTGCGTGCGTTGTTTTGCGGGAGTGGAGTAACGAGGGCAATCCAATCCTGGAAAATACAAGCCATCGTTCAATTGGTCATGGGTATGGCTAGGATTTTTCAAGGGGGGGGGCGGTGGGTAACACCCCGGTTACTTACCAGATTGTCTATGCATAGTGGTTTTACTAACTGACATTATCAATGAGCGTGGGATGGGGTTGGGGGAGGTGGGGAAGGCAGGCCTACAAATGAGTCAGGTGCCGATAAGGACCGAAGACGCTGTCTATAAAAGCCAGTGGCCAATACAAAAAAATGCTGGCGATCGATATACCGAGGAAATTTTCAAAGAAGTGAGTCATCAAGCGATTGTTTTTTCGGAAAATCTGGATATCGGATGGCCGATGTATCATCATTCAGGGACAGTGAATTTAAGGATTTTGGCTTGCACTTTACACTTTGCACTTGCACTTTTTATTTGAGTGTCAATGTATTTAGCACGAAAGTGCTAATTGGGGACACTATATTTTACGTCTCCTAATGGAGACGGGACCGCCATTTTACGTGGTCATCCGAGCCACGCGAAGGTCTCCCCGCTTGCAGTGCAAAGGAAGTACCTTCATTTCTCAGTCATTTTAAGACCCTGAGTAATGGTCAGGCCCCGGGAATCGAACCCGCGACCTCCCGCTCTGCAGTCAAACGCTCTACCGACTGAGCTAATCCTGCCACGGTTTGGATTTTCTTTTATCAATATTCAAGCATTTTTGAAGAAAAAAAGTAGGGGTGGATCTAACAAAGGAGGACGCATTAGGGGGACTAACTACATCCAAAGCTATCTCTTCCAGGGTCAGGCATTCCATCTGAAATTAACTCTTTATCGTTACTGATCAGAGCTTTCACCATGAGAGGAGGAACCGGAGTGAACTCGCGTGCCCGAAAGTCGCCTGGGTGTCATGTCAACACCCCCAAAGAGGAAAAACCCTCTTATCCCTAAGATCAACATGCTGATTCTCTGCAGTTTTCTCTTGGCACTTCTCATGGTAAAAAAAGAAAATTTGTTAAAAAATCAATACATTTTTATTTGTTGATCATTTCCTATATTATCTTCTCAGGACCTATGACAAAATGGTGAATGATATGAGGAGAAATAAGATGTTCATCTCTTTCAGGGCTTAAAGGGTATAAAAGCATCAGAGAATGAGGAAAATGTCTGGTTATGAAAAAACTACTTAAGTAACTTTGGCTACTCTGTATTATATAGCTGGACTGTTAAGTAATTACTATATAGTGGCAATGTAATCATGTATCTATATGCTTTATATGTAAGTAATGTAAATCAGTGGTGCAAATAAATAAATAAATTAATAATAATAATAATAATAATAATAAATCATTGCCTCTCTGAAATATTTTTCGGGAAAACAATATCGTTAGTCTTAATACGAGACCTATTTTGCCTTATAATGCTCCCCTTTTGTTTAGCTATTTGGACGCTAGCAACGTCGCTTGCGGGGCTTTTGTTGTGGGCACTAATGCGGTGTCCCATCGTATGTGGACTGCTTGCGAAGCAGCTAAGAGCTCTACCGGGAGAGAACTTGCATGAGGCTATACAATTTCCCTTAAGTGCATTCAAAGCCTTGGTTCGCGGTAAGTGTGTAAAGTGGCATTCTGACAGCCAAGGGGCCGTTCGTGGTGTGGAGATAGGGAGTCCTAGTACGGAATTGCACTCTATTGCGCTTGATATTTTCTATTTTTGTCCAACCTACAATATTAAACTTATTCCCCAGTGGGTTCCTAGGGGACTTGAATCTTGTGCTGATGCGATTAGCCACATTGTAGACTTCGATGACTGGTATACAACCCCTGAGTTCTTCGCACACTTGGACCGCCTTTGGGGTCAACATACAGTTGACAGGTTCGCGAATGCTGCCAACGCCCATCTTCCCAGATTCAATTCTAGGTTTCGCGTACCCGGCACTAAAGCTGTTGACGCATTTTCACTATCGTGGAATGGAGAGAATAATTGGCTAGTCCCTCCCGTCCACTGCATTACTAGGGTGGTTCAGCATCTCCCTGTATGCGGTGCGGTTGGTACTTTAGTCGTCCCTTATTGGCCGTCTAATGTGTTTTGGCCTTTCTTGTTTGCAAATGCAATTCAATTCCAAACGTACGTCCTTGCGTACATTCATTTTCCCGACTCGTCAGGGATTTTTGCCCTCGGGTGTTACAAAGATTCACTCATTGGTTCAGACAGGTTTAACAGCGCGGTCCTGGCAGTCAGAATTGGCGCTAAGGGGCCTTAGTTCTTTCACGCCGAGTGGCTTTATGTTGGTCCACGTGTTTTTTGTTCCGCTCCTCAGTTCTTTTGTTCTTGTTTCGCATGAAACTAGCTCGCCGAGTGGCTTTTTTACCTTTGTTTTTGAGTTGGCCCATATGGCCTTAAATAGTTTTGCATCCAGTCAGCGGCATTATCAAGCGTCCATTTTTTATTGCTATATTGACTCCCAGTGCGTGTATGGAAGAATTTTGCCATGTATTTTTGTTCTTATCCTCGTAGAAGTTCTTCAAAGATGCCTTGCAGCCTAATTTTCAACAGGTTGAAGACAGGCTACTCCGGGCACCGGTTCAAGATCTCCCCGCAGTTCTTCTTAAATCCAAAGCCGACAGTACCGCGAGGAAGTACGAAAATGGCTTTGATACTTGGAGAAAATGGGCTTTTCAGTTTAAAGAAATTGTAATATTTCCGCTTCTATTGTACGCGTTTCATTGTTTTTTCTTAGCTTGATTCAAGAATGTGCTTCTTGCAGTACTATTGACGAAGTGCATTATGGGCTCAAGTGGGTGCATGATTTGGCAGGTCTGCCCGACCCCTGTAAGTCCTCGTTAGTTTTACCTTTAATAGAATCTGCTAAGAGGCTTCTCAGTATCCCTGTTAAAAAGAAAGAGCCTGTGACCCCTGAGGTTATTCAGCTTTTATTTGCTAAGTATGGATCGTCTTCAGCTAGTTTGTCTGATTTACGAGTGCTTACTTTGTGCGTTTTAGGTTATGCAGGGTTCATCGAAGTAAGACTGACGTTTACAGTAATGCGGCTTGGGTTGTTATCGCTAAAACTTTCAAGCATACATGTCCTTATTTATTAGTTCAACGATATTTTGTGGCCGCTTCTTTTTCAGCGGACAGCGAAGAGTTCATTTTTCTCACTCTTGTTTTCCTTCGCGATACCGGAGCTTATAAAATGCGCGGGTCTGTTCCTTTGTCTTATACTAGAGCGCGGGAGATAGTGCTTAGCGCTTTCGATTCCATTGGCCTTCCCAAGCAAGACTATGGTCTCCATAGCCTTAGGGCTGGAGGTGCCTCCGCTGCTGCTAATGCCCGAGTGCCTGACAGATTGTTTAAAAGACGCGGCCGTTGGAAATCAGACAAGGCAAAAGACGGCTACATTAAGGATAGTGTTCATTCATTGTTGTCGGTTTCGTTATCACTGGGTATTTAATTTTCCGTATTTCCTGTTCTTTTAGTTCGCACACGGCTCGTGTTGACACACCCCAGTTGAGGTTGCTTGTTACATGATAAATGTTTTATATTCGTTTGAGCGGGGTAGCGAATTAGAATATAAATGTATTTATCATGGTTATGTAACCTTTTCTTTGGGGTGTTACATGGTATGCTGTTCTATTGCTTCATTAGCGGTGGGCTATATATATTTGAGTTGTTCTCATTTATATTCATTCACGTCTTAGGGCCGTCCCTACGTCCTGAAAATTAAATACCCAGTGACCAGGGGTTTCTCTTAGACGTAGTTTTTTGCATGCTGCTATATGAAAGGTTTAGCACGTTTTGTATGTTTACTGAATCATTGTTATACGAGCATAGTTTAGATCATTTTGTAGGGTTGTTTTTCTTGCTGTAATTTTTTACATTGTCGAGTTTTCATTCTGTTTGTTGTATTATTTCCATCTATTTTGTTGATCAAGGCATAATAAAGAGGGTCGCGCACGGCTCGATTTGACACACCCCAATTGAGGTTGCTTGTTACATGATAAATGTTTTATATTCGTTTGAGGGGGGTAGCGAATTAGAATATAAAGAAGATTAACTTGTGCCTTTGCTTGAGATAAGGACTAATATGCCTAAAAAAGTCCATGTCGTTTTGACAGTTTCTTACATTATTCATCTATGCGTGCTTACCAATGATTAAACCCAGTAACTTGTGATGCGATAATTGGTCGACATTTGTAGCGTCATGGCGTAGTTTTATCTTAATTTTTCAGTTATTTTGTACTTGGCTAGAGTATATGTAAGTTTCTCCAGTGTCGAGAAAACAATTATGAATGTTCTTTCTGTCGATAGAACCTCTATGGGGATCAAATCAATTCATAGCCTGTTGCGAATACAACGTCAGCCGTCTCTCCTGGCCGCTAAGGCATTTCGCGGGAGAGACGTTTGCGATTCGACCCCAAAATATCCATACTGATAAGGTAGCTTTGTCAGCAATCTGGTCAACGATCGCTGATTGGTCGAAGTAGTAAATTTATTCTTTTAGCAATTGTTTAAGAATGGCATTCTCAAGACAAATGGTCACAGAGATCAGATGTAAGCGCCACGAATCTACAAAAGTCAGTCATGATTCTTCGAATTTTTAAAATCTTCTCTACAAGAAGCATTTGAGTTTTGCTGCCGCGCAACAATTTTGCGATAACAGACCATAAACTTAATGAAATTTACATACATGACTACCAGATTAGTTATGCAAACCTTAATTTACGTCATCAGTATGGAATTTTTGGATTCGACACGCAGGCGTTTGTAGTGAGGACGTCTCTACCACGAAGCGTGTCTAGCGGGCACGGCCGGCTAGCGGAGAGGAGCGAGGAAAGACGGCTGTATTAGCAGGTTAATCAATTCACGACGCTCAATAAAACTCAGTTTTCCATTTTCTACAATTGTGTTTATTCTACAGCTACTTCTACTATCAGATATAGAGCTAGACTACGAGCACGCTCTCAGTTTTCCCTTTTCTTGCCCACTCTCTTTTCGCCTGTTTCACCGCCAGTGTGTTTTGCACAATGCATATTTATTTTAAAAGAAAGGCGAGAGACTGGAGGCAGTGTAATTGCGGGCGACTAGAGGAGCATTCTTGGCACGTATATAGCCAGCATTCGTTTGTACTTCCACTAAGAATGAAAGAAATGTATGAACGCAATCTGATTACTCGCGTTTCTACCACACGCGCATTTAGCGATTAAAACACAAGGTTAGGTTTTATATAAGCAAACGTCCAAGAATAACGAAGCCTTCAAAAACATTCCGTATCACTAGATATAGTTTCTTAATCGTTCAAAATACAATAGACTAACGGCTCAACAAGACTCTTTCGGAATAGTTATCCATCTACCTAAATTTCTTCTTTGAATATTCGTTTCGCTCTAAAAGTGGCTTCTTACATATAGCCAGCTGTGAAAAAAATACTCTAGAACATCACATTTAAACAAGAACACAGATGTACAACAATCATACAATAACTTTACTGTTCAAAGGTGGATCCAGGCCTTCAGGTGGGGGGGAGGTCATCCAGACTCTGAGATAAGGGGGCGCGCCCGGTCTCAAATATTTTGGTCTAAAAATAGGGGGCGGGCGCCTGAAAACTTAAAATATAATGAAGGATCCAACTTTCTCGCAAAGTTCCGTGATTGTTCCTGTGCGCGCCCAATACGCTAAAACCTATCGTGACACTGCTTCCAAGTGATATGAGGGGGGTTGTAGAAAACGAAGAGCCTTGTGAAATTCATTGATAATCAAAGATTATGGGTTTCTTTCACATCTCAGGTTGTCATAGTCGTGTGGAGCTCTTTCACATGATTTTGAAGGGGGAATTCGTTTTGGGTTTAACGTCTTCGTTTTTACACTCCCTTGTTGCCACTTAATGTAGGCCGCATTTAGGAGGTGGCTATACACGCCGCGGCTTAACTGCATAAGCTTAATGCCATACGGACGCACTTTACTGAGGATCACTCACTAGGTTAGGGAACTGAGTTTGAATGTGAACGAGTCTGAGTTTCGGTTGCAAGTCTTAAAATAGTTGAACAACACATTCAATCAGTTTGCAATTACTAGAAGGGGCTCCGTCAAATCATTTAAAATCTAAAACTTGCTATCGAATCAATTTTAGTCATTAAAACTGTTTTCCCGTCGTCTGTTGCTACGTGTGGCAATGGGGGATGGACATGGATTGAAACTTGAAAAAATTGGGGCAAATTTTCAAAGTTTTAATGCGATGCCTGCAAAAATCACTAACAAATTTAATGGTCAATGCATGCTGATGAAATTTGTTTTATAAGTTCTTCACAACTCTGCCGGAGCATTTTGTGTCGGTATTTGTGCATTTTGTGCAAGTATTTTTTCGGGTGGCTTGATTGATTTAGGTTTTTTTTAGTCAAAACAATCTGAAGAATTTTTTGTGTTATATCATTTAACTATTTCTGGAAATTTTCAAGGCTCGGAAATTTGGCATGAAATTTTTGGGGGGTTTGATTTTTGCCCCCATTCGACCATCCCCGTCACTTAAAATCCGGAGTAACCCCCAGCAGCACCACTTGGGTATATTTTGAGGTTCACGTTTGTACGGCTATACCACGCTCTAGAGGTAAGTGATTTCCGCAAGGTTTTTTGCACCCTAAAACATTACAAGCTCAAGTTTGAGAGGATATACTATGTTTTAGAACTATTTTTCTTATCCATTTTTTTACATCTGAACATAATTTTGAAGATGATTTTTCTCAGCTAAAATAAAAAGCATCGAGAAGGCACCAAATGAATGAAAACAAAAAAAGCCTGCCGCGAGCTACCACCCGCGAATCTGGGCAGACGGCTAACGTGAAGCTGCTAACCACAAACCGTGGTTTGCCGTTTAAGATCTCTATTGCACCTGAATCTCTACAAGTTCATAACCATTGGGTTGACCGGACTGGTTCAAATTTCCTGCATTACCACCGTTCTTGGTTTCTGCGGGTTTCTTTGCTTGATGTAGCTTCAGATATCCAAGCCATAAAGTTGAGAAAAAAACCAAACCATTTTGAACTAACGTGGAAACAAGGCTCTCACTAAGGAATGACTGTGCAACTACAAACAGAACAATTATTAACAGAACAGATGCAGCGCAACTTCCTAGAACAAGAAATAGCGACATAAAAATCGGAAACCAGTACTCACGTCGCCAGTGTCTACGTGCAGAACATCTTTCACACTGGCGGTCATTACATTCATGAGAAAGATAATATTCGTAAAAATCATAAAAAAAGAAAACGAGAATAGCAGAAACAGAAATAACAGCCACTAAAACTGAAATACCCCAAAATGGTTCTGTTATGACGCCCAGCAATATCCACAACAAATGATGGCAAGCCATGAATATTGCTGGGTAAAGTGTGAAGAAGGAAATAACATTTCCGCTTGGGTCGCTCTCATGGCCCTTAGTTAAGCTCAACTTGTATAGATCAATATTATCGCTTTTATAGCTACGCCAGAAACACCAAAGTGCCCTCCGAACAAGTACAAGCATCGCAGATATCAAGAATGCCCACATGTAATAATCTTGCTCAAAAGAGGAACGACTCCAGGCGAAAAAAATCAAGGAAAGTCCGGTAACAAAAACAACTATAGATAACAAGATTACAGCAGCTACTTGGCTGTCATTTTTCCTTTTTTCTGCTTCAACTCTGCTGCTATTCTTCCATTCCCTTAGCTGCACTATAAGCCACTGTGAAGCAACTTGACTGAATACCAAACTTATACAAAGAATACACCAGCACACTCCATGAAGCAGGTTCTTCCAATCAGGAAAAGGTGGAGCTTTCCCATGACCCATGGTAACACACTCTACTGTGTTCAGACTTGGATCAGGAATATTTGGTGATATTGCTATGTCCTGCAACTACAAATCAAAGCAAGAACAGCACTTAAATAAAACAAAACACTCTCAAAAAGTTGCCTAAAATGGCATAAAAAAACGACAAAACCAAAACGATGACAACTACTATACTACTGCTGCTTCTGCTGCTGTGGCTGCTCTTCCTCCTACTGCACTGCTACACAACGTACTTCTGTTGCTACTGGGTACTACTGCTACTGCTGCTGCTGCTAATGATACCAGAAGCATGACTACTGCTGCCCCTGCTTCTACTCTTCTAACTGTATTGCTGCCACTACTACTATACTGCTGCTGCTGTAGCAACTTCTGCTGTTGCTGCTACATACTCTTAATTTCTAGAATTCTCTGGTTCTCTCTCAATCATCCCCTGGAGTGTGTGTGTGTGAGAGAGAGACCATCTCTCCCTTGTATGACTCTTTCCAACAGACGCTCTTAGCACAAGGCTAAACTCATTTTTCTCTCTATTGTCAGGACCCCACCACTGGTTTCCTTGTGAAATGACGTCTGAGGAACAACAACAGAAATTTCTTACTGATGACATGTCATAACCCAGATCTGGGAAAACTGCTTCTGATTGGCCGTGCAATGAAAACGACATCCATTGGTACACATAGAGAGGCTCAATATTCTATGTTCCCAGACAAAGAACACCAGTGCCACTAATATTTTAGTAACCATTTTGTTTTTTAAAGGCATTTACTCATGAGACAAATTTATGATTTGAAAATGCATAATATTTTACATAATCATTCAAAGCAAATCTTCTCCCTTTTCATTGGCCGAGAGCCCACCACGTGACCTGCGAATAACTGCCTACAAATAAAGGTCTGCTCATGTGCAATTATGTCATCCTACATATACTGTGTTTGGCTGCAAATAATATTCTGCTCATGCATGAAAGAAACCTGACCCTTTTCTCTTTTTTGCGGTCGCTCTTTCGTGAAAATGGCAGCTTCCCGAAGATATTTATCAAAAAACAAACTTGGTCACTGAATGATAAAACAATATTGAACTTGGTTATCGAAAAATATAATGATTTGTCAGTGTCTCGCAGATCAATTATTTGCCCCAGCCTTTGGTTTTCGGCAAATAACAGTCCATTTTACAGTTACAATACAGGTGGAAACGAGGATGGAGTTGACCTTGTTTTGATACAACCCTTCCTCCTTTATTATGTTAATCTAAGTTGTTCTAACTAGTATTTTTAGCATAATTTTCATAACAAAAGAAAAGAGATTTGTATCAAAAAAAAAGGTCAACCTCAGCCTCACATTTTCTCAGAGGCTAGGGTACTTAGCTCATAACAGTAAAATGGTCTATTCATCTGCTCATGACTGACAAATCATGATATTTTGCTCAACCTCGTCCAGTAATTGTTAATTATGAACTGAAAAATTTGGAAGTGTAAGCTATAACTGTATCAGCCTTTTTTGAGAAGGCAAGTTAGCTAGACAGGGGTCAGGTGAGGAGAAAGATATCTTATCACCATCTCCAGGAGAATACTCCAGGGAAATGCAGAAGAAAATCAGTTAAAACAAAAGGGGGAATCACTACTTTCTTGATTGCACCTCAGTATGTTCCTCTCGCCCTTGATGATGATGATGATGATGATAAGTTAACAATAATGAAATGGCTAAACGTCCTACCGTGGAGAGGAAGTAGATCATGGTGTCAGCAGGAAATCCCCTGCAGAACTGTGGCAATGTTAGGTGCAGCTGTCCTTCTCGTCTGTTTGGATAAATAGCCCACAAAGAAAACGCATTCATGGAAGCCAAGCTTATGCTTCCTCCACTAACATACAAACAGGATGCACTCCACGTCAACTTGTATGTCGTGATCTTCGTTTCTATAGTTTCGCGCACATTTTCCCCTGTCTGTGAGATATTGGAAGTACTACCATTGATCGGAGATCGGGACGATCCGGCTAAATGAGTGAGATTGTCGCTGCCATGTAGGAACGTAACGGTGATCTTGATCAGCAAAGACGGCAAATCCACAGATGGATAAACAGCCTTAGAAATATTGTAGTAGTTATCATACGGCGGCTGTGATGAAATTAAATAGCGTTGTATATGCTCTTCCCATTCCATGCACGTTGCAGACATCTCCTGTGATCCCGTCAACAGTACCAGAAAAGCAAACTCCACAAGTAACAAACCCATTTTAGTTACTGGTTTCTACGTCACGCTGTTCGTGAGAGTTCGTGACCTTTCGGGTTAATCGAGAGAGCCTGGGAAGAGTAGTAAAACTTTATGACAGCGCGGGCGAGCGCGGGCTCATTTCCCGAATGGAAGGAATGTGGATATGAAGTGGGTGAAGATTGTGAGAATGAGATCAGACCTGGGAGTATACATCCTCGGAGACCCAGGGGCAGTTAGTCGGGTCGATAAAATGTTTGTGGTGAAAGTTTACTATAATATCGACACGAGCCCCTGGGCACTTACTCTTACCGAACCAGTTCCAGAAGCGTTTGAATTGCCTGCTTCTGATTGGCCAGAAAAAATTTTTTCTGGCCAATCAACGAAGAGAAACTGCTGGGTGACTCTCCTGTTCTCTTACACAACGTAGTTTTCCTCATCGATCGCCATAGTTCCGTAGCGCGTTCAACGGGGAAAGTTTCTCGACGAAAGTTTCAGAACAAAATGTTAACAACCCCCAAAATTGCAACCTTTAGCACGGCTACAAGAAACAAACACTCACCGATGAATTTTTAGGGCGGATCTTTCCAAGGTATCGTAAATTTTTATTGCTGATACGATACGGGATGCAATACATGACTTTCACTTTCCACACCTTAATTTCCCCACATTGTCTAGTATATATATAATGCCAAGCTTACACTTTAGATGTCCATGTTCGTTGCACGACTTCTGAAACTTTCTACAGCGTGAAAATTTCCGTTGCACGGGCCACGCAACTACGTCGATTGATCGCGGGAATTGCCGGCTACCTGCAGTGCCTTCTTCCTGCTTTCGCTCCCAACTCCTTTCGAAACTTTTAAGCTTAAAAGCTTACAGCAGTTGACCGTACGAATTCTGCCGAAGTTGATAGTAGTGTTAACTTTAGATTCGAGGGAGACCTCCAGTAAGCGCTTGTAGAATTAGAAGGCTTGTCTTTGTTTCCTGTGGCACAGTTCAAAGCGAAGCAAAGATTTATTATTGAGACGATTGTGGAAAGAAGAGATGTTTTTGGGCAATTGATAGAAGAGTCTAACTTTCCAAGTGTTGCCTATAAGCTAGGGGGTTTAAAAATCGTTAGATGCTAAAGGTTATGAATTCCCTAGTAATCCATTGGTCATAGTGATTTCACCTCTCATGTCAATTGTTGAGGACCAGGTAAAGTACTCGAGGTCACTAGGAATTCAGGCCGCTTTCCTAGGGGAAAGCAAAACAAAAAATCGAGAAATATTGAATGGATAGGAAGCGTTTTCTTTGTTGTACGGAAGCGCGGAATCATTAACTGGGGGACAAGAAATTCAGGGCAATGTTCTTTAAGGAGTTTTACCAGAAAAATCCCATTGCAGGTACATACAGCTGTTCATTGGTAAGTATGCTGATTTGTTTACTAGGAAGGGTGCTACACTGAATTCATTGTGGGGAGTTCTGAAGGGGTAAAATGGGATGTTGTTGCTCTGGGAAAATGGGATTTAAGTCACTGGCAGGGGGATTCTATCACTGAGAATGGGACAAAATGTAAAAAGTGGGAATTGAGGGTTCAACAATTTCAATGGGATTGATATCCCCCCTTCAGGACCCTCATTATACTTAACAGTAGATCTGGCTTTTATTCAAGGATGCTCAGTAATCTTATGTCTAAAAGCTGACAGACACTTCACAAGAATTATCATGTTTTTTTTTGTCAGCATTTATTGATAATTGAAAGCTGATGAAGTAAGCGTTGTGACTGCTTAAGATAATAGTGCAGTTGAACATTTACATATTATAAATGGAAAAACACCCCATAATACAGAACTACAGATGCCATTACATGAATTTTATTTTTAAGCTGTTGAGATTTTTTTTTTTTAACTTTTTTACTGGAGTTCATATGTCTACTTATAAATACTGCTTGAGTTATGTATATACTAGGGAGATGTAATATTTTATTTTATTTTCATTTGTTAATAAACATTTATGCTGAGGTATTTGTTGGTGATTCTTTCTGCCCCAAAGGGTTTGTTTTACTAGGTGGCCAACAAGTATACTTGAGTATATTATTTGAAAACTGTCTAGAAAAATGGGGAGTGCATTATATTCAGGTGACATTATACACAAGTAAATATGGTATACCTACATAACATAGAAAAACTGTTTTCCAACACTCTCTAGAAAAAAAGGGAACTGTGCTGAAATTGTCTCTTACTGTTTTCGATAATTCTAAAAGTCTTTCTTCTTTTAGATTTTATTAAGTGTACAACCTGCAGAAGAGAAAAAACTGCTTCCTTTTTTGATGACAGTAATGAAAACAGCAGAATCATTCCAAGCCACTTATGTTACGACATCAGTGCCAAAGACTGTTAGTCTGCTTAAAGAAAATCAAGATGATCTGTGACAGGAATTTCAAGAATCAAATCTTCACTGCTTGTATTCTAGAATTTGTATTCTCTGATTGTCTTCTACAGGAAACAATAATTGATAATTGTAATAAATTATGTTCTGTGGAAAGTATTTTCGAGACACTGTGTGGAATGGTGACCATGCAATGAAGATTTTTACCTTTCTGAAGAGGGTGTTTAAAGATTTAAAAATAATTGTTAATGAAGAATATTATTGTCAGATGAGGAGAATTATGATAGGGAAGTTATGAAATATCAAACAAATGCACCAAAGGAAAATTGTTAATATTGCAGCATTATTTTTTCAAAATAAGTCCAATCTTGTACCATCAATTCCAAGGGAGTTAAAACAATGGCACTGTGGATGTGTTTGAGGGGGTCGGGAAACATCCAGTCAATCATAGATAAATAGCTAGCCAAAAAATCACATATTTTGTGAAAGTATTTGTTAAAAGATATCTTATAATAAAATTCATTTCTACTATATTAGCCATAATTCTAATCACAGTGAAGATTAACCCAGGTTCTCTTATGCGGTTTAGTAAGCCAGAGACCCAGGTCCTTGAAATCAAGAGCTGAAGTTGGATCTTTGGAAAGTGTCCCTATTCCTTGGTCTCTTCTTCCTGGAATTTCCTTAAGAGCGTTCACTTCTTATAAAGTTTTAGTGACTACAAAAATATCTATATAGACGTCCCACCCTTCCACGATTTCTCAGCTCTGTACCTACACGTGTCACACGCTGCGCGTTTATCGCCCTCCAAAACATTCACACCAACCACTTTCAAACATTTTCGCAAACTCACCTTTATTTTTTTTTCTTCACTTATACGTAAAAATTAACCCACACAGCCTGCAAAAATCGACCTCACTTAACAAGTCAGGATTCAGCACATAGCCGGACTGCGATTTCGAACTAAACACAACGGCTCTTTTTAAATTAAAATACGTACGGTAAGGGAGTTTGGCGCGAAAGCAAGAAGGTGCGTGCACTGCAGCAAGCCAGCAATTCCCACGATCAATCGACGTAGTTGCGTGGCCCGTGCAACGGAAATTTTCACGCTGTAGAAAGTTTCGGAAGTCGTGCAACGAACATGGACATCTAAAATGTAAGCTTGGCGTCGTATACTAGACAAATGAGAGCAAATTAAGGTGTGGAAAGTGAAAGTCATGCATCGCGTATCGTATCAGCAATAAAAATTTACGATACCTTGGAAAGATCCGCCCTAAAAATTCATCGAGAGTGTTTGTTTTTTGTAGCCGTGCTAAAGGTTGCAATTTTGGGGGTTGTTAACATTTTGTTCTGAAACTTTCGTCGAGAAACTTTCCACGTTGAACGCGCTACGGAACTATATGGCCATAGGCGTACGGGCAATTTTTTGTCAGGGGGGGCGGTAAACTATTTGCCCCAAAAATTCTTGCAAGTTGCCCAAATTTTTACAAAACAGTCGAACAGAAACGAGGGCCATACGATGCAACAACATAGGTCGTACTAGCATATGAAAGTGGCTCGATACAGTTTTTCAGGGTCAATACCTGTGAAGTTTTTTTTAGCATAGACTACGACACCATAAACAAACATTTGGAAAAATTGCCACCACAGTCGCATTAGATAAAGATGAAAATTTGTTGTGATCCGGGTTGCAATAACATCGGAGTTGTCATAGCAACCAAATGATGCCAGTACCTATTATACTTGCAGCAACATTTCTCACTGGGGACTGTTCTTCCAAAATCGTTCACGGAAGCATTTTCCTCCAATAGTCGTCTCGATGTTCGTGAAGTTAAAACGGAATCTGTAAGAGCGTTGCGGAGATATGTTGGGATAAAGTTTCTATCGTTAGAAATACAGTAAAAAAGGAAAATCTTGATGTTTGGCCGTTATCTGTAGAAAACGAAGCGCTTTTGACATGCAATTTCACCTCATAGTAGTTTCAATCTTTTTAAAAACGTGGGTAAAAGATAATGGAGATAGCTCTGGCCAAAAAAGGATTTGAGTATTTAGTATGTATCATGGCGCTCTTGTTAGCGGTTTTGTAAACATTTCGGTCTACTTTAACAAATTAGTGAAAAATCTTTAAACCACTCGATAGATTTTTTTGTTAAAAAAAATACGATTCTTCGCGTAATTCAAACTGAGAATTAGTCAGCCACTTCTTCACTTTCAGACCCATTGCTGATGCGTATCTGCCATACAAAGTTCTACGAGTGGAGATGATTCTAGAAAGTTAGGCGGAAGTTTATTCTAATCAATTCACGACTGGAAATAGCCCATTGCAGGACAGTGCCCAACAATAAAAAAAAAACAGCACATGATACCCTTCCCTTATCACCAGAAACCCATTACGTGCTAGGCAACCACTGCCTCGTGTGAATGTAACAGTACTGGATTATTACGCCAACTTCAGGTTAAAATAGACAATATTTATCTCTTCAAAATAATGATTTAAAAAACACGGAAACGTGTTAAAAAACTGGCTTTGCCCAATTTTTCTCTCGCTGCCCAAAAAATATGAGTTGCCCAAAATTGGGGGGCTGCAGCCCCCCTCGCCC